GTGAGGTGTGGGGAAGGAGGAGCAGGAGGAGGTGAGGTGTGGGGAAGGAGGAGCAGGAGGAGGTGAGGTGTGGGGAAGGAGGAGCAGGAGGAGGTGAGGTGTGGGGAAGGAGGAGCAGGAGGGGTGAGGTGTGGGGAAGGAGGAGCAGGAGGAGGTGAGGTGTGGGGAAGGAGGAGCAGGAGGAGGTGAGGTGTGGGGAAGGAGGAGCAGGAGGAGGTGAGGTGTAGGTGAACAAGCAGAGGAGGTGAGGTGTGGGGAAGGAGGAGCAGGAGGAGGTGAGGTGTAGGTGAACAAGCAGAGGAGGTGAGGTGTAGGGAAGGAGGAGCAGGAGGAGGTGAGGTGTAGGTGAACAAGCAGAGGAGGTGAGGTGTAGGGAAGGAGGAGGAGGTGAGGTGTAGGGAAGGAGGAGGAGGAGGTGAGGTGTAGTGAAGGAGGAGGAGGTGAGGTGTAGGGAAGGAGGAGGAGGAGGTGAGGTGTAGGGAAGGAGGAGCAGCAGGAGGAGAACAGCTCCACCCTCCAGCAGATCCCACAGCAGCAGCAGAAAAGCACCAGTCAGGAGGAGAACTCCGTCCTGCTCTGGACTGAACTTGGACTGACTGGACCTTCCCGGTGCTGGTCCCTGAACGCACCATCATGCTCCTGTCCGTGTGTCTGCTGGCCGCGTCCTGCGCGCTGTGGCCACCTGCGGTCCGGGCTGCGTCCTGCGAGCCGGTCCGGATCCCGCTGTGCCGGTCCATGCCGTGGAACATGACCAAGATGCCGAACCATCTGCACCACAGCACGCAGGACAACGCGGTTCTGGCCATCGAGCAGTTCGAGGGGCTGCTGGGTGAGTTTGTGCACCAAGTTCTGCACCAAACCACTGCAGCTGCGTCATTACAGCTGCTTTTAATTCTCTTAGTGTCACTCTTTCATTCATTATCTAGAAAACTGGACAACCTTTTCTTTTCTTTTCTCTTTTTGACACAACTTTGTTACATTATTTTTTGACTGTTTCACTGTTTTTGGTTTTTGAAACTCAAAGATTGAATTTATGAGTTTTATTCATGAATCAGTTAAAGCTGATGAATCAGCAGCTCTTCAGCTGATTCAGTCAGTGAATCAATAGATTTTCTGCAGAGCAGCTAAATCACACATGTCAGCTTGTCTGTAAGGAAATATCTGCAATTAATCACTTGTGACAATAATTAGAATAAATTAAAGTTTAGCTCCTCCCAGGAGACTTGCTTTAGGTATTTATTTCCATTAAAATAACATATTTATCCTCATTAGGACAGTTTAATAAGCTACATGCATTTATGTAAAAGAGAAAAGAAAGAAAAACAGCAAAGGAAACTGGTTTATCAATCTGCAGAACTGGTTTGAACATTGAAATACAGTTTGGTTTGATTTTTTATTATTTATTTTTTCCAGTTGTCACAACTTTCCCATCATTTGAGTCACATAATTTGCTAAATATGATTTCTTATTTTCAGTTAAAAATAGTTTTTACAGGTTCCTTACTGTATTAAAGTAACTA